CATTTGGAAGAGGATCTTTGTAGGAGATCCTGGATAGACAGGGAGAACAATGTGGAACAAAACTCAAAATCATTTTTTGGGGAAAAAAAAAAGTGGGGAACAGGTTTGCTGGCCTGAGGGAGCCTGGTGGAACCACTGAGACTATGGCTCCTAGCTGCTCTTCAGGTCTGGAATTGAATCCACAACTGTGGCTTCCAGCCAAACAGTAGACAGGCATATCAGTTGAGCATTTACCTGAGGTAGATACACTCCTTGGAGAGAATAAGCATGAGAGAAAGAAGGGCTGCTCAGGCACAGGGAGACAGCTCAGGGGGCAGGAGTGCATGGAGAGATGGACACAGGGAAGAGGTAACTATCGGGAGGAAGTGGGAGGGGAGATGTTGCATTGTGCTAAATTGTGGTCAATGTCATGAGACAAAGTGTATGTGAACTGCTATAAGGAAAGTAAATTTGCTCTGTAAATTTTCACCCAAGTCACAATAATAAAAAAGAAAGAAAGAAAGAAAGAAAACTAGGACTTGGGAGGGGAAGAATAATAGCAAAAAGGGCAATAGTAGTAATAATAATAGTAGTTTTAAAACAGACAAAAACAAGCAAACTAAAAAATAGAAAAAAGAAAGAGCAAAAAAAAAAAAAAATAGGGTTAGGGCAGGGCAGGACACCTAGGCTCTGTCTGAGCACATAGACTGGGATGGAGTTCCTGTGGGCCCAGAAAGTGGGTGGGAGTGAGGGATGGTCACACCTCCATTCACCAAGCGGGTGTGGGATATAAGAGTAACAAGGTGAATGTTGCACCTTTCCAGCCGTCCATGTCCGGAATGTCCTTGGGGCTACTGGCAAGTTGAACCTGTTCTTAAGCCCCTGGAATCTGGGAGAATGCTGTTGCTTTAAATACCCAAAATGGTCAAGCCACTTGTAAACATTCAAAATGGCTGTATCCTCCGGAAAGGCAAAAGTCCACAGCTCAGCCCACCTTCCTCTTCACTGCTGCTTCACCTTTTATTCCCCAGCCACCAGAGGAGTTCTCTGTGCAGTCCCTGGGTAGCAGGGCTGATTTTTAGGTTAATTCTTATGTCCTACCACCACTTGGCAATCTCCATGCTGTCTGTGCCATCAGGATTGCTGCCAGACCGCAGCTCTGTATGTCTCCTTTTTTGGTATTTTCATGCCAATTCTTCTGCTAATTGGAGTTTAGTGCACTTCTATATCCTTCCCTTCAAGGATCAGGGGTCCAGGATTGTCTTCTGTATCTGTGTTAATTGGTTCCCCTTTTCTTTGTTGAAGAGGTTCTGTTCAGTCTTTCTGCCTATTCCGCCATCTTACCCTGAAGACTGAATGTTTTGGTCTTGATTGCATGTTTGATCAATTTATGACTGCAGTACTTGGTAAAAATCTCAGAGTCTTCATGTTTGGCATTAGTGATTGGTGTATAAATGTGTATAATAGTTGTTTTAACTGGTCTTCCTTGTAAGTGTACTGATATTATCCTATCACTGACAGCGTTGTACATCAGGATAGATCTTGAATTTTTTTTTTTTTAAATGATGAATGCAATGCCATTCCTCTTTGTCATTCCTGGCACAGTAGACTATATGACTGTCCAATTCAAAATGGCCAATACTGGTCCATTTCAGTTCATTAATTCCTAGGATATTGATCTTCATGTGCTCCATTTCATTTTTTATGACTTCCAGTTTTCTTAGATTCATACTTTGTACATTCCACATTCTGATTATTAATGGATGTTTGTAGCTATTTTTTCTAATTTTGAGTCATGCCACATCAGCAAATGAAGATCCCAAAAGCTTTACTCCATCCATGTCACTAAGGTCAGTTCTATTTTGAGGAGGTAGCTCTTCCCCAGTTGCATTTTGAGTGCCTTCCAATCTGAGGGGCTCATCTTCTGGCACTCTATCAGACAGCTTTCCACTGATATTCATAAGATTTTCACTGGCTAATATTTTTCAGAAGAATCTCTGGTGGCACAGTGTTTGAGGCATCTGGCTGTTAACCAGAAGGTTGGCAATTCAAACCCACTGTAGGAAGATGAGGCGATCTACTTCTATGATGATCTATAGTCTTGGAAACCCAATGGGGGTCACTATGAGTCAGAATCAACTTGACGGCAATGGATTTGGGTTAATTTTTTCAGAAGTAAATCATCAGGTCCTGCTTCCTAGTCTGTCTTAGTCTGGAAGCTCTGCTGAAACCTGTCCACCATGGTGACCCTGCTGATATTTGAAGTACCAGTGGCATACCTTCTATCATCACAGCAACACACAAGCCACCACAGTATGACAAATTGACAGATGAGTGGTGGTATAAGTGATTGGAGTTTTGTAAAAGAAGCAATTTAAGGTACTGAAAGATAGCATCAAGAGAGCTGGAGCAGGTTTCATTCTGGGAGGTGCACCCTGGGAAGTTCAAAACAGTTGGAGATTTGATTCCTTCCAGAGGTGCCTCAGAAGAAAAGCCTGATGATCTATTTCTACCCATTAAAAACCCCATGGAGCAGTTCTAGTCTGACATGGAGTTGCTGTGAGCCTGAGTTGACTCAGAAAACTAGTTAGTGAGAGGTCTGGGAAGGGGTAATGTTGAAGTCAAAGGAGTGCAGATCACTGACAAAGCAAGGGCTCAGGTCAGGTCCTGGGACAGGACAGAGTTGGATGAGGCCAGGACTCAAGGACACTGGAGGGACTGAAGAAGGGCAGGGCTGGAGTCAGGGGGCTGGAATTTACTTCATGTGTGGCAGAAATAGAAGCATCTGGCCTGGAGGTGGGGAGATGATGTACACTGGAGAGGGGTCCACTGTGGTGGGTGGGGGTCGGATGTGGGAGTGTGTCTGCAGCTCCTATGTCACCCATAAAGGCAGGAGTAGAAGAACCCATGTGTGGTATGTGTGTGGGGGGTGAGGCACTTGGCTCATGCCTCTTGAACTTGGCCTCCCAGCTGTAGCTGGAGAGAGACAGGCCATGGTCCCCATCTCTAGAGGGAGGACCAGGGGAGTCAGGTCCCTCAAAAATTCTTGCCCACCTGTGGGGGTCTGGAGAGGTCAACTGGAGAGATGGAGGGACAGTAGGGTGGATGGCAGGCTTGAACAGATCTGCCTGGGATGCTCTCCAAGGAGCAATTGTACTCTTTTCATACTGTTTTCCCCATTTTACAGGGGAAAATATAAGGCCCACTGAGGTTCAGAGAGGTTAAATGACCTGCTCATAGGCTAGGGCATAGCAGATAATGGACACAAGTAGACAAGGGAAGGCTTCTACCAGCCTGCCTGGGCCCAGGACAGAGAACTTGGTTGGAGGAAGGGTCAGATTGGATGAGGTGAAGTTCCTCATTTGGGGACTGCTAACCTTAGGCTGGTGGTTCAAACCCACCAGCCACTCCACGGAAGGAAGGGTGGGCAATCTACTTCCATAGTGATATTGCCTTGGAAACCCAAGGAGGGGTCGCCATGAGTCAGGTCCGACTCAATGGCAAATAACAACAACATTGGGGTCTGTGATGAGATTGAATATTGCCAGTATCTTTAGTAGCAGCAGTAAATGTTTACTGGACTCTGTATAGGGGCTCCACAGGGAAGTCAGCAGCTGAAGTCTGCCACCCCTTTGCTCCTGCAGTTCCTGCTGCCTGGTCACTCTTGGAGGCCAACTGTCCTGGAAAGAAGGGATGAAGAACTATCTTTGAGGATTGGAGGGACTAGGGGAGCAGGGAGGCTGGGCTGGCTGGACTTTGGAGATAAGTTGAGACTGGAGATTCAGGGCAGAGGGAATGCCAAGTTCTGACACTTCTTGGGGGTACCTTCTCCTCCCTAGGCCTCAGTGTCCTCTTCTGTGTTAGAATCACTCACTCCACAGAAGTCATGAGGACCAAAGGAGACCAGACAATGGTGGGGGCCTTGAAGAGACCTTCCTGTGCTCCACGTTCAATGCCTGATATTCAGTTCAGACTCCCATGTTTCCCCCACCCATACACTCACATTGCCAAAGCCAGGGGCCCCAGGGAGGGGTCAGTGTCCTCCTGAAAACACCTTGTTAAAGTGTCCAAACTTCTGGTCTACTATCCAAGTGGTGGTGAAGGAGGGCCTCGAGGGCAGTACAAGGAGCACAGCTGTGAGGTCCCCTCCAGGTCTCGTCTGGTTTTGGGCCTGGAGAAGCCAAAGCCCATAGAACAGAGCTCTAGGTGGAGGTGGTTTTCTCCATTGTGTCAGTCCTATGGGAGCTGAGGGGCCCTGCAGGAGGCTGGCCTTGTGTGGACTTGCACCAATGAGCTCAGCTTACCCACTGCAGTGCCCCAGTTTTCCCAGGAACCTCCTGGCCCCAGAGGCTGTATTTCCAGTTACTTCCTCTCCACTGAGCCAAGTTAGAAGGGCAGATTTGGAAAACTGGGGTGAATGGGAACCCCTTTCCCAGCCCCTATGGGATGGGTTGGCCCTGAGCCCATCCTAGCCCCTACCAGGATAAACCCCTACCCAGGTTTACTATGGCTGTCCCTACAATGTTGTGGGGTTCAGGGATAGCCAGGACTGTGTCCCTTCCAGTCGTGGGCACAGCTGCAGCCCGAGACATGAGCCTCTGAGCCACTCTTGGCTTCCATTCCAGGTATGCTGAGGAGGCCACTACCACTGCCCATTTTCCTGGGAGACAGCAGCAGACCTGTCTTCTGAGCCCTTTCAACACCCCCAGGAAGCCCTCATGTCTTTCTCCTCACCAGGCCCTACTGGGGCCAAGGGCACAGGCCAGGTCCAATCACACACTGCTCCCTTATGGGCAGGAGCCATTCCAGACTTTATTAGTGACAGTGATGTCTGTACATTGGAATATAGCACAGGTACTCTGCCAACTCCTCTCACCCTCACATTAGCCCTGTGAGGCAGGCAGGAAGCAAGGTGTCCCCACCACATCCATAGTGCACTGAGGGCCCATGTGGATGAGCAGCCAAATCAGCTGGGCCTATGGCAACCCCAGGCCCTGCACAGGACTTGTTTGCCTCCCCAGATCGACCTGTATGCAGGTGCACTCTTTGTGCACATCTGCCTGGGCTGGAACTTCTACCTGTCTACCACTCTCATGCTCGTTGTCACGGCCCTGTACACCATTGCAGGTATGGCGGGCACCAATACCACCAGGAGTACCTGTGTGGGGTCAGGGGCCACCTCCTTCCACAGGCTGGGGACACAGCACCACTTAGAATAGATAGGTGAGGGGGTGAGGCTGGGCTTGCTGCTTTACCCTGTAGGTCACCCACCCCACAGGGCTGCAGGGACATGCCTGCAGAGTAGCTGTCCTCAGCAAGTGTTCCATGTGTCACCTTGTATCCCTCCCCTTTGGGGACACAGTTCCCTCTAACTCCATTTTCCCCTGCAGGGGGCCTGGCTGCAGTGATCTACACAGATGCCCTGCAGACATTCATCATGGTGGTGGGGGCTGTCATCCTTACAGTCAAAGGTGAGAGGCTGGAGGCTTCAGTCACTACCTGCAGGGCCCACACTCTGGGACTAGGGGTCAGAGCTTATCATAGCCTCAAGGAATCAGGCCACTAGGCCACCAGGCACTTAGGGCTCTCTGCTGCTCTTGGAATGAGGCCTGGCCCTGGGGGGCAAGAAGGTGCTAGCCTCCCTCCTACCCCAGTGGACTAGCTGCTTTTCTGTCACCAATTCTTGGCAGCCCTGAGCCTGGCATCCAAACTAACTCAGGAACACAGGACCTCCCATGGACCTTTGGTCTAGGCACTGAACCTGGCCCTGCCTAGGTACAGGTGGCACAGCGGGTAAAGTATTCAGTTGCTAACCAAAAGCCCAGTTAGGGGAAAAGATGAGGCAGTCTGCTTCTGTAAACATTTACAGCCTTGGAAACCTTATGGGGCAGTTCTACTCTGTCTTATAAGGTTGCTATGAGTTGGAATAGACTTGATGGCAGTGGGTTTGGTCCTGCTTAGGGAAGGCTAGGGAATGGGGTCTAGGGCTGGGAGGGCCTTTTCCTATGTCCAAGATTTATGCAACCATCTCTTCTCAGACTAGGGGCTCCTGTGTTCCAGAGTGGATGGGAGGGAGCTGTTCAAAAACACACAGAAACCATAGACATGCCAGTTCTTGGCAATGCATGGCCATGGCCCTGAAGTAGACAGTGAAAGGGGTTATTGGACTCCCAGGAAAGACCCCTGGCTTGAGCTGTAACTTGCTACTTGCTGGCTGTGTACCTCAGTGAAGCCACTACCCCTGAGATCTCAGTTTCCTTTCTCTGTGCCACTAGGGGTTGGGACCACATTGTCACCATCCATCCTTAGCTTTGTCAAAGTTACATGCCTTCAGAAGCCCCTGGAGTCAAGACTTTTTAACACTTCAGATTCTCCAGGAAAGTCCTCAAATGCCAAGAAAAAATACTTTTGCTTCCTTGAATTGACAGTCCAAAACCTGGCAGAGTCCCCTGCTCTGAGGCTGAGGGGCATCCAGGGCCCCAGGAATTCCCACTGGGCCAATAGAACCCTGGGATGCCTATGTGCAAAATGCTCATTTAATAGTATTATTTTAAATACAAATAAAATAGTCATTAAAATTCAACTGGGGAAGGCAGAGAAGTAGGGAAAATTCAAGTTTGCTGCATCAGGAAGTTACCTGTGAGATGAAGACTGTGGGAGCCTGGGGAGCCAGGGCCACCCAACTCCAACCTAGCCCCTCTCTCACCCGACCCTTCTAGCCTTCAACCAGATAGGTGGTTATGACCAATTGGAGGCAGCCTATGCCCGGGCCATCCCAGCCAAAACTATCGCCAACACAACCTGCCACCTGCCACGCACAGATGCCATGCACATGTTCCGAGACCCCTATAATGCAGACCTTCCATGGACTGGGATGACCTTTGGTCTGACAATCATGGCCACTTGGTACTGGTGCACTGACCAGGTGAGTGTCTGTGTTGACCACCCACCCCTGCAGCTGGGCATGCCTTGGTGGGTCCTTGCAGTCATGGGAGCAGCATGGCCTACAAACACTGTATCACCCAAGTACAGGCTGAGACCAAGGCTGCAGAAGGCATGGGTCTGGCTAGGGGAGGCAGCTAGGGGTCTTTGTGGTCCCTGGAGGCCTGGGTCCTCCGTTTGGAGTCAGATGAGGCCCACTGGCCACCACCTGTCCTGGCCTTGAGATGCTTAGACTGGGACAATTTGGAGTACGGGATTCCAAAGGGACTTTGATGCTCCTCAGTTGCCCTGCCATCAGCCAAGGGGCCAGCATTCCGGCCTGGTCTTGAGCTCCTGGGATCTGGCAGGGTGCGGGGTATCAGGCCCCCCTTGGCTTGCCAGTGGTGAGGGCCTGCTTTTCTGGGGGAGCTCTGGGTGTTGTCAGCTGCAGGGTAGAATTGCTGGGGTCCTGGAGTCCTCAGTGACCGTATGAATCTATCCATTACGGGGGCAGGAACCCTGTAATGGTGTAACTGCTGGCCCTGAAAAAGAGAGAGAAAGAGAGGGAAGTGAGGGCTATAAGGCAGGAAATGTTAGTTCCATCCACTCTGGAGGGTCTCACAGGGGCCAAACAGACCCAGATTTGGGTCCTGGCCCTGCCGCTCCCCAGCTGGGCAATCATAGGCAAGTCCATCTAACCACTGGGGACCTCAGTTTCCGCATCTGTAAAATGGGAACCCTTCTATCTTTGGTGGCTCTTAGAAGACTAAAACGATGGCCTGAAGGGCCCAGCTCCCTGCTTAGCACCCCTGGGCAATAGATGAGGCACATTCTTAATGTCCCCACCCCTGGCCCTCTGCCCAGGCTCTTCCATCTGTAGACAGACTGGATGTGGTAGAGAAAGAGCTGAATGGGACTGTTGAGAAGAGCCTCACTGAGTCCAGATTCCTATGAGTGACAGGGGTTGGGTCTTCTTCCAGAATCTGATTCTGTCCCTCCCCCCAATGAGCATATCCCTACCCAGGCAGAAGCAGTCAAAGCCTCCCACCCACCTCTGAAGGCTGGGTACAGTTCCTGCTGTGTTTGGGTGGGAGAAGACCTCGTTGAGCAGCAGAGTTGAACAGGCGTAGTGGGGAGGGCCTCTGTTTTTTCTTCCCCTTCTGCTGGAGGACAGGGCAGGATGGTTGAGGCCTCCCTGCTATGGGAATAAGGCAGCCAGCAGGGCTCCTGCTCCCACACTGGGATCTTAGAGAATGAGGCAGCCAGGCCCCACAGGAGTCAATGATAGTTGCTCATGCATGACCTCCTGAATGGCCTGATGACTAAGTAGGCTGGGCATGGAGGCCCAGATAGGGAGAAGTGGGGTTCTATCCAGCATGGGGCAACTCCCTTTCTGGGCACAACTGCCTGCCCAGTGGGGAGGAGGTACTCTGAAGTCCCCACAGCCCTTCCCTTCCCAAGCAGCAGGTGTTAAGTCATGTTTCCAAGGACCCTCCGTGAGTTGGACCCTGGGATGTGATCCCAGTAGGGAGGCATCAGAAAGCCCAGGAGGTTAAGGCTCAGTTTTCCCTCTGTAACATGTTGCCCTCTAAATCAAACAAAACAAACCCACTGTCATCAAGTAAATTCTCACTCATTGTGACCCCCTTTGGGTTTCCGAGGTTGTAAATCTTTAGAGTAGATTGCCTCTTCTTCCCACTAAGCGGCTGGTGGATTTGAACTGCTGTCCTTCTGGTTAACAGTCAAATGCCTTACCCACTATGCCACCAGAGCTCCTTATGTTGCCCTCTAGGTGGGCTTTTTCACTCTGGACTCCACATTGGCGGTGCCTCACGAGTGGGGTTGTCATGGAACATGGGGCTGGGGCTTGTAGTGGACATCCAGCCTCTTCCCTGAAGAGCCAAGAACCAGGTGGGTGTGGAGGGCATCTGGGGCATCCAAGGCTAGCCCTGTGCCCTTCACCCCACACATGGCACCTCTTGTTTCTTCCCTAGTCAGTGAGGGCCTGGCAAGGCCCCAGCGTCTCTGGGTGCAACACCATTCAGGTGATTTTCCCATGAAGGTTGAATGAATCAGCATAAATCTTGGCCTAGGGGCCAGAAGGTCGGGTTCTCTGAGGCCCTTAGGGAGGCAGAAGTGGACCCAGCAGGGCAGGACCCCTTGACTCCCAGTGTCCAAACTGGCACCGGGCCCATACCTGACCTCCCCCTATGCTTAGGCCCCTGACCTGGCACAGAGGTGCCCATTGCTCCTCTGACACCCTCATACCCTCCTGCCTGGGACCTTCTGCTTCCCACCCTCCACTGCCTCTGCCTACTGAAATCACTTTATTCTTTGGTGCCTGGCTTCTGGCCCTTGATTGTCCCCACCATATATCACCCAGTGAGGAGGCTGTCTTTTGACCCATCTGTCTGCCTGCTGAATTGGGGTACCATCTGTTTCCCCATGTCCCTACATCCTGCACGGGGTCTAGCCCAGGGTATTGCCTGTCCCTGCTAAGGAAATGGGGTCCAGCTTCCTGGCATCAGGGAGTAAGAAGCAGAGGTCAGGAGGGGGAAGGACTTGCTTAGGTCACATGACCAGGAAGAGGCAGGGGGACCTTGAGCCAGGGCCTCTTTGTCCCTCATTGCACGAAGCCTGGTCTTTTCTTTGTACACATCTGGATAGGCAGGCTAGCCTCTGCCTGTGGCATAGTGCCTAAGACATTTGACTGCTAAGGAGAAGTCTGGTGGTTCAAACCCACCAGCCACTCCTCAGAAGAAGACTGGGCAATCTATTTCCATATAGACACCTCCTTGGAAACCTGAGGAGGGGTTGCTATGAGTTGGAATCGACTTGATGATGGCAGTGAGTTTTTTTTTTTTTTTTTTGGACAGGAAGGCCAGCCTCTGGGCCCTAGTCCAAAAGCCCCTAGGATGCAGGGCAGGTGCTCCAGGCTCAGGTGCCTCGCATTAGTTTTGTACAAGTTTCCTGTCTCCACTGACCTCTACTAGTCCCTGGAGCTTTTTTTGGGAGCTTGGAGATATGCCTACTCTCAGCTCCCTGGCCAGGGTGGGCCTGCCAAGATGTTTACAGTCTGGCCAAGGTGAGGCCACAGTGCTGGATGTTAAGCTGATGGGTGGTTTCTGTTGTTCAATTTCTTCCAGCTTATCTACATTGAGTAGATGATACTTTTGTAATCAGAAACAAACAAAACTAATATAAAACGAGGGAGAAAAGCCAGTGGTAGAGCCTGGGCCTCACTTTTCCTTTCTGTAAAATGGTGAGAGCATGGACCAGAGAAATCCCTGGGTGGTGCATAGTTAATGCTCAGTGGCTAACCGAAAGGTTGGAGGTTCAAGTCCATACAGAAACACCTTGGAAGAAAGACCTGACACTCTACTTCCAAAAAATCAGCCATTGACAATTCCTTAAAAAGTTGGAACTAGAAATACCATTTGATGCAGCAATTTCATTACTAGGTATATATCCTAAAGAAGTGAGAGCCATGACAAGAACAGACATATGCACACCCATGTTCATCACAGCACTATTTACAATAGCAAAAAGATGCAAACAACCTAGGTGTCCATCAACTGAGAAATGGATAACCAAACTATGCTACATATATACAGTGGAAAACTATGCAACTCTAAAGAATAACATAGAATCTGCAACACACCACATGACATGGATGAACTTGGAGGACATTATGCTGAGTGAAATAAGTCAATCACAGAGGGACAAATATTGTATTAGTCTATTTTTGTAAAAGTCAAGGAATGGTTTATCTATGGAAGGAAATTTTCTTTGTTAGTTACCAGGGGTGGGAGGGGAGGAGAGGGAACACGGTTAGATAGATAGAGATAGGTATTGATTTGGGTGAAGAGAACGGCAATGTACCAAATGTGAGTGATCAACATGGTGGCACCGAGGAAGGGGAAGACAGAGAGAGGTATATGGGAGGTGCAGACAACAAAGATGAATCCTTTTGCACACAGAGTATGTGTTGTCAGTGAAAGCAAACATGGGTATATGGGTGCATAGATGGGTGGACAGGCTGAACCATTAGGTATGTCTATGCAGTTGGAGTGTACCCAAGGCCATGTATAGGGTTGGCAGACAATGGTTCTACAAATGTATTTGTATGTTCTGTAAGAATTTCCAGGTGTATATAGTAGAGCTGACAAGGGACAGGTTGTAGTCACCACTTGGTCACAGCCAACTACCCAGAGGGAGCAAGTAGTTGAACCTGTGGGCTCGGGACCGTAGTCACCGGGGACATCAAGCTCAATTGGCGTAACATACTACACAAGACACTGTTCCACCTCCTATTTTGGTGAGTAGCGACTGGGATCTTAAAAGCTTGTAAGCAGCCACCTAGATGTAACAATGGGTCTCTCCTCACCCAGAACAAAGAAGAATGAAGAAAACCAAAGACTCATGGAAACAATTAGTTCTAGCGACTGGTACACCATGCAATCTGCAGCTATGAGACCAGAAGAACTAGATGGTGCCTGGCTACCACTGTCAACCACTATGTAGGAGATTCTGGATAGAGAGGGAGAACAATGTGGAAAAGAACTCAAAATCATTTGGTGGTGGTGGTGGGGGGGGAGGGACCAGGTTTGCTAATCTGATAGAGCCTAGTGGAACCACTGAGACTATGGCCCCTAGCTGCCTTCAGGTCTGGAATTGAACCCACACCTGTGGCTTCCAGTCAAACAAAAGACAGGCATATGAGTTGAACATGTACCTGAGGTGGATACACTCCTTGGAGAGAACAATCATGAGAGAAGGAAGGGCTGTTTACGCACCGGGAGACAGCTCAGGGGGCAGGAGTGCATGTAGGGATGGACACAGGGAAGAAGTAACTATCAGGATTAAGTGGGAGGGGAGCTGTTGCATTGTGGTAAATTGCAGTCAATGTCATGAAACAAAGTATACGTGAACTGCTGAATGGGAAGTGAATTTGCTCTGTAAACTTTCACCCAAATCACAATTAAAAAAAAAAAAATCATCCATTGAAAAGCACAGTTCTACTCTGACACACATATGGGGTCACCATGAGTTGGGGCCAATTATACAGCAACAGTTTTTTTTATGGATGGACCACCCCCTCAGGCCCTTCTAGCTCTTGTGCCATGCACAGATCTGCCACCTGGCGATGCTGAGACTTAAGATAGATCTTAAGTCTTTTTAACCAGAGTGGCAGTCTCAATCTTGGCCACAAGGGAGACATAGCACAGAGTACATGGCACAAGGGATCTCACTGAGCCCACAAGGAAGGTTCTCTGATCCCTAAAGCAGGGGGAGCCCAGGTCACAGTCCTCCTGAACTGGCTCCTCTGAAGGCTGTACTCTGAGAGATGCCAAAGACTCCTGAGCCCGGAAGCCTGCTCACTGAGGCCCTTGGCACTTGGTCGTGCGCTGGGCTACCCATACTGGACCTTGTAGGGGGTCCTGTTGTACCCATGTGAGGTGGTGGTGGCCTCTTCTCTTATAGGTGAGGAAACAGGGACTCATGGACTGAAGTGGCTTAGTTTGGGGAGGGAAAGGAAGTAGGCCAGGGTGGGGCAGGGCTGAGCCAAGAGGCACCTGTGACACAAGGCCCTGTTGACACTGAAGGGGCCTCACCTTACTGGATACTCAAGGAGAAGCCATGTTTGGCTGGGGCATTGACAGGTCTCCCAGCTCAAGAAAACCCTGAGCCTCAGCCCCTCTACCTCAGGTCTCTCTACCAGAATGGGTGATAGAACCTGTCACATATATCTCCTGGGACAAGATGAGGGAAAGGAGGCAGACATCTCCTGCACACTTCAGAATGTGGCACCCAGCATTTAAAGAAAGGATTCTCTCTCCATAAGGACCAGGGCCCTGGGCACTTGCAATCATAGGACATGGCAGGTGAATCTCTAAGGAGCCTTCTCTACTGCCTAACATTGCCCAGATGGGGAAACTCAGTGAATTGCAGGTGGTAACGTAAACTGTAGAACAGCAAAGGAAAAACGCTTACATTTAAAAGTTATAGGTTGTATAATACAATGAACTGTACACTCTAAGTGAGTTAATTGCATGGCATGCAAATTGTACCTCAAGGTTGTTAAAAAATAAAAAAAGTTGTAAGTTGGTTAGCTGTCATTGAGTCAATTTCTATTCACGACGACCCTACGTGTCACAGTAGAACTGTGCTTCATGGGGTTTTTAATGGCTCAATTTTTGAAAGTAGGTTGCCCAGGACTTTCTTCTGAGGTAGACTTGAATCTCCAACCTTTCAATTAGCAGCCAAGTGCATCAACTGTTTACACCTCCCAGAAACACCTTTGTTAAAGTAGAATCACGATCGAGCTAGGAGGATTTAATTTAAATACCTTCTATCCAAACCACCGCCCTCTCCTTCTGCAGATTTAGAAACTGAGGGCCATTAGGACTTGCCCAGGGCTCCATGAAGAGCTGGTCACCTTAGTCAGCATCTATTTATCCCACACTACTAATCTGCAAGCTCTCTATACCACAGATCTTAGAGCTACCACCCTCCCCTCCCCTGGTGACACAAGTTGGTTCCAAGGTCCACTTCTGGCATGTATGTGCAAGATGCCAGCCACTCTCATGAGGGTATGGGAGATTCCAGGGATGGGGTCCCTGATACCATCCCACTCACAGTCCTCTAGTCCCAACAACCACTGGGATAGCAGGCCAGGAAGGATCCACCCCACCCCTATGAGCTGTCTCGGATGAGTCTAGGGCTGATGCAGAATGGGACAGCATTATGTCCCATGCCACTCCTTGAGGCCTGCTGGGGAGAAATTCTGACACAGGCGTCCCTTCTGGTGTTGGCCCCTCCAGGTCATTGTGCAGCGTTCGCTATCTGCCCGGGATCTGAACCACGCAAAAGCTGGCTCCATCCTTGCAAGCTACCTCAAGATGCTCCCCATGGGCCTGATCATCATGCCTGGGATGATCAGCCGTGCACTGTATCCAGGTAGGATAGCCCCTGGCCAGGCTGTTAGAAAGCCAGGGCCTGTGTCTTAATTGGGCAAAGTCATGAGGAGGGGAGGTAAAGGATAGATATGAGTTGTTTCCAAGTTTACGGGGAACAAGAAGGAGAGTGGTCCACAGGGCTACCATCAAAGGGTCAACGAGGATGCAATGTGGTGTACAATGTAGGCAGGTCTGTGCAGGGTCCTGTTTGACAACTTAACTGCTGTGTGACCTCAAAGGTGTAAACTAATGTCTCTGTGCCACTGCCACTGCTTAGCCTACAAACTTGGGGCCCTATACCCACCTACAGGACTACATTAAGACCCTGGGACACCAGGCATCTGAAACCTTGGGACAGAGATGGATTTCCCTCTGATTCATGGTGTCAGCTCAGGTGGCCTTTGTGGAAATTTGGGGCTGAGCATCCCTTGTATGTGGCCCTGTACTCTGACATCCCTCCCTGCTTGTCAGTTTCCCTATCTGTCATAGGGAAGGGGTTTTAGCCAGTGATACTATGTCTAGAAGTCAACAGCTCAGGGGAGCTGTGATTCCCTACTATGTACAGGGACCCCAACCTACCTGTGTCTCCTTGTCTGATGATGGCTGGGCTTGCATCCTCCTCAAAGTATCTGCCTCTTCTCTTGCCTGACTCTGTGCCCATGGGGAGCCCATCATGGGCCCACCAAAGGTCCCTCGGCTCACATGGGGGGCACTCAGTTGTCGGCGGGGGACAAGGGCTGCCCCATTAGCCACCTGCTCTGAGTGGCGCCTACGGAGAGAGACTGAGCGCTCCCTCACCTCAAAATACTCATCTGACATGGAGGAGGCCACTGAGGGCCGCCGAGGGCCAGGGCCATGGCCAGAGCTGCCCGAGAGGCTGTCCTGGTCACTGAGGGTCACATAGTCATCATCATCTTCCTCCTCCTCCCCATCCAGCCCGTTGGGGACCCCTGCCCTTAGACTGTCGGGGTCATCCTGGATCATAGACAACTGCCGCTGGAGTGGGGTATGGCCTGGGTCCACCTCCTGGGATGGCCCATGGTCAGTCCCATTCTGGGGGGCCTCCTTGTTTGGGGTCTCTGGGGTCCAACCAATACCACCATCCTCCTGGGCAAGCAGGTCTGCCACGGGGACTGTCCGGGGCTTGGGTACAGGTGGTATTGGCTCAGGGTCCTCCTGGAGGAGGCCATTGGTGGCAGGGGCCCCATCCTGGGGGTCTGGGTCAGGTACTGTGGTAGGACTGCAGCCCTGAATTTGCTTCCATGCCTGGTGCTGGGACGTGTCGCAGATCTTGATGCGGTTCATTTGGCTGGGCTGAGGGTTCCAGATGTTGGGGTCAATGATGTTGATGTAGCCCAGGATGTCACTGCCTGGCTCGGGGTCTGGCTCTACCCATGTGGGCAGGTACTCAAACATGTTGGCACGTTCTAGGTTTAGCAGCCCTGGGTGCACAGGTGGGGGAAGCTCGGGGAGGTCACTGGGCCGTTCCACCAGCACTGGGCCCTGTGGCCCTGAGGGCCTCTTGGCATCTGGTTTCTCAGAACAGGTCTTGGCGAGCTCATCAGCACTCTTGGCTTTGACCAGTGCATACTTGGGATTGACGAGTTTCTTGGCCACAGTGCCTGCAGGCACCAGGGGGACCACAGAGGGCAGCACGATGGGCTCGGGCTCAGGCTCCTTTTCCATGGGGACACTTTTGAGGCTGACACTATGTGAAGTGAGATACAATTCCTGGAACTGCCGGTCAAACATCTCCACCACCTGGCCAGACAGCACTGAGATCACGTTCCGGTCTGTCCTGGCGGCTGACCATGTGAAGCTGCAACAGAGAGGGCAACACAGGTCAGCACATGGCACTGGTCTCCTCTCAGACCTCCAGGCCCACTGCAGTGGCCACTGGAGCCACCATGCTGGGCTCACAGCCTATCTTACAGACTGTGCCTATGGGATAAAACAAAACCCAAACCAAACCCACTGCCATCGAGTCGGAGCCAACTCATAGCAACCCCTCCTTGGGTTTCCAAGATAGTATCACTATGGAAGTAGATCACCTAAACTTCCTTCTGAGGAGTGGCTGGTGGGTTTGAACCACCAGCCCTCTGGTTAGCAGTCAAATGCCTTAGGCACTACGCCACCAGAGCTCCTTGCCTATGAGATACTGGGGGTAATTTAAGAGAAGTGAGCCAGAGCAGGGAACCCAACTCTCTAACTTACTGTCATCTTTGTGATCCTGAAAAAGTGACTTTATCTGTCTGTGCCCAGCTTCCACCTCTGTGAGGACCATTTGTGCCTTCCTCCCTGGATGTTCAGGACTTACCTAAGCAGTGAGGAGGATGCTCCAGGCAGCACTGATACCTGGCATGGTTCAATACATGCTACCTGGTGTCATGCCCACCACTCAGCCCCTACCCTTTTCTATAACATGAAGGTCCCATTCTGCTGCCCCCAGGCAGCCTCAGGGATGGTCTGATGTTGCACATGACACCACTGTCATTGCTCTGGCCTTACCCACCAAGGATAGGAAGAGGCTGCCTGCCTAGGCCCAAGCCATCTCCAGGCTAGGTGATGGTAGGGTAGATGTCTGGCATGGACAGAGCCCTCTTCCATCTGGGAAGAGTACCACTCACACCCCAGCAGCCTGAATCAGAATAACCAGGTATCATAGGTCAGGATTAGGGGAAAAGCCAGCTGGGAACTGGAGGTGTGTTTCACCTGAGTCCCAGAGAGTCAGGAGTCACCTGTAAGAGCCGCACACAGCACGGTCTCCATCCACAAACATGAACTTCTGGGCTAGTGCTCCCTTGAACTTGGTTGCTGATCGGGTGAAGAACTCTGTGCCCCCACTGCTCCGCACTCTGAGGTTCTGCATCAGAGAGGAGACAGGGAGACAGAATTATACCATCATTGTTTCAACCATGTGGGAAGGCAGCAAGCCCTGCCTGGGGTACAAGAGAGCCTAGGGAGGGAGGGGGCAGTGTGTCTAGGGACCGAGGGCAAGATGGGAGGTGGTAGAGCATGAAGCTAGAGAAGAGGCCAGCTGGAAGGGGTGCTAATGGGGCAGGGTCTGGAACTTTGGCCTGAGGCATGTTCCTCAGAATAGCAGTCCCATAGCATGCCCTGAAAGTAAGCAACCTTCCAAGTGGTCAGGCCAGTTTAAGAAGTACTGCCAGGAAAAATAAAATAAAATAAAAAGAAATGCTGCCAGGTATGTATGTATGTATGTGTGTGTGTGTGTACACATACACACACACGTGTGTGGTGGGTAGGGAGCGAGCTGTCGTAGAGTCTTGAGCAAGAGAGCAGTAAGGCCCATTCTAGAAAGCTCACCCTAACAGTAGGGTTGGGGGGCAAGGAGGGAAGGTGGCAGGCAGGCTACATGGCTGTCTGGGTGCCTCCCATTCTTCCCAGCATCCCCATCTAACCCTCCCTGCTGAGCTCTGCTCATCAGGGGCAGGGTCTCTGGCAAACCTCCCACTTCCCTGCACAGCCAGCCTACTACCTGGTACCAGGGGAGTCACTAAACAGAAAACCGCATTCTCTGCCATGCTGGCACTGTCGGGCTCAGGAGCAAGCCAGGAAGGCCCTAAAAGACCCAAGCAGGGGAGCTAGGGCTCAGAGAGTGGTGTGGACTTGTCTACGAGCTATGGCAAAGCTGGGCTGTGAGGGACACAGGTTCCAGGCTGGGCCATGGATGGTGTCTACCTGGCACCTGGCTATCTAGAGGATGTCTCATGATTCATTAGGGGGATGGAGCCTTGCTCTGAGTTAGGGTCAGGTGTGAAAGCCAGTTCTGGGTCCTGATGGACCCAGGAGACCCTGTCTGAGACTCAGGAGTCAAGGGAGCAGCGGAAGGCAACCTATCATGGAACCTCAGACAAGGAGACTTGGGGCTCATCTGGTCCAAACATCTCCAGGGCACAGAGAGAAATGCAGGCTCCTGGGTACCCTAAAGGAGCTCCAGTGGCACAGTACTTAAGGCATTCAGCTGCTAACCAAAAGTCAGCAGTCTGAACTCACCAGCCACTCTGAGGAGCAAAGATGAGACAGTCTGTTTCCATAGAAATTTACGGTCTATTCTGTCCTATACAGTCACTATGAGTTGGAATCAATTCAATAGCAGTGGGTTTGGGTACTCTGTGTCAGGACCAGGAATTTATTTTCTTTTTATTGTGGTAAAAAAAAAAAAAAAAAATCCAAGTTATGGAGACTCTGTGTGTGTCAGAGGAAACCTGTGCTCCACTGGGTTTTCAGTGATGATTTTTTGGAAGTAGATGGCCAGGACTTTTTTCCAAATTGCCTCTGTATGGACTCGAACCTCTAATCTTTCGGTTAGCAGACAGGGTGTTAACTGCATCACCCAGGGACTCCAAAATATACACAACAAAGCTTACACCATTTTAACTATATAATTCAGTGACATGACATTTACTATGTTGTACAAGAAGGGGCCAAGGTGGTACAGTCGTTAAAGTTAGCTTGGCTACTCACTGAAAGGTCAACAGTTTTCCTACTCTGTGGGAAAAGCATGAGGCAATCTGCTTCCATAAAGATTACAGCCTTGAAAATCCTACAGGCCAGTTCTACTCTGTCCTATAGGGTTGCTGTGAGTCAGAATCGACTTGACAGCAGTAGGTTTGGTTTGGTTTGAAGTTGTACAACCATTAGCACTAATAGTTTCCAAAGGTTCTTCATCACTCTCAACAGAAACTCAGTGCCCTCATGACTCTCTAACTCCCTTGGAATTTCAATTTTTTACACAAGCCCTGGTGACTCTACCTCCTGGTCCAGGGCAGGAAGGCCTGCTATAGATCCTGATATCTTCTTGCAAGCCACCCACGATGACAGCCTCACTTGCTTGTGAGAGACACTCAGCTGCTACGTGCTCCTTGTCAGACTGGTTGTAACTGCCCATCATTCATATTCTGACCAACCATGCTAGGCCCCCAGTGCAGGCAGAGATCTCTGTACCCGGGCCCCTGTGGAGGTGAGGAGGTGGCAGTAACACAAGCAATCAGAGGTCAAGGCCTATGCAGGGTAACTCCAGGTGTGGGGTTAGGGGCTCCTGGGCAGGAAGGGGCAGCAGAGAAGGGGCAGCACAACACCTAAGAATCTGAATGCCTGGAGTGCCTGGCAGGGAGGATAAGAAGCCCACAGGGCAGCTTGTTGGGGGCTCAGGAACCATAAGGCCAGGCCCAGGGCAGCAGAAGCCATGGGATGTGGGGGGAGTTGAGGTGGGGAGTGCCCACAGGCATCTGATCTATGAGCTCAAGAACAGCTTCCAGGCCCCAGTGTGGGGAGATGACAGGGAGAAGATGGGGGAGACTATGTGTGGTGGGGCAGCAAGAAGAAGGGGTGGGCTGGGAAAACCAGCTTTCCCTCAACTGCAGCCTATGCCCCTGGCTGCTCTGTGTTCTTGCCTAAGGATGACAGGAGGTCCCAGGCTTCTCTACACAGTAATCGAGGTTCCCACGTGATGCCCACTGGCTGTTGTGCCAGCTGGTTGCTTAGAGAGCAGGCACAATGGGCATGTTGCTGGGCCCAGCCCAGGAGCAAGATAAGCCTCGGCTCCTGGGCAGGCAGGCGGCTCCCCCTTACAGGCAGGCGGCTCTCCCTTACAGGCAGGCGGCTCTCCCTTACAGGCAGGCAGGCAGGCAGCTTGTCTGCACAGGGCCAGCTCAGCAGGAAGCTGGCCACAGCCCACGGCAATTATTGCTCATGACTTTACACCCAATATGGAGCATACTCAGGGAGAAAAGGTAGAATGAAGCTCCCCTGCTGTCACCTGTGGCCACCCTACCACCTTGTCCCAGAGGAGGGCTCTGAAGCTCAGCCATTCACTCAGAGAGATACAGCCCCCCTGAGGGCATGGGGCACTGAGCCCCCCAACTTGTGCTGATTCTCAGCAAGTCCCTTTCTGGGCCTTAGTTTTCCCGCTTGCATGCTGGGCAGTTGGCCTTGAAGGCCTATCTGACCCTGGGGCCCAGCAGCAGGTAAGGGCTTGTGGAAGGAAACCCATCTGGCCCCATGGCCAGTTCTCTTGCCTGTCTGTTCCTGGGTGGAACCACCCTATGGGGCCTGGCCCGCATGAGGTAATGTCTCCAGAGTCCGGGCTCGGTGAGCAGAGGTGGAGATGCCACAGAGCTGCATTGTCTTAGAGCTCCCAGGACATCCCAGCAGGGCATGAAGATGAGGGCAGGGGGCGGGGGTACGGTCATCTGCATCAGCATGTGCTAGAGGTCCAGGGTGTGTCCCTTGGGACCTCAGTTTTCTCATATGTAAAATAGGGTGGCAAAGTCCCTGGGAGGACACAAGGGGTGAGTTGGGGGGACAAGAGGAGATGGCCAGGCACAGGGAGGGGTGGCTAAACACCAGGGCTGGGCAAAGACTCAGCCACTTGCTTGGTGTCTCCCCTCCCCCCAGCAGACCTCCAGGCCTCTGTGCTCACATGAGAGACTTGACCCTAACTCAACTCACCCTATGCTAAGCCTACAAGCACCACCTCCTAGTGAAGGATGGGTCGGGAGGGGCATACTCAAGCTCAGAGATCAGATGGGGCCAACAACTTGGACTATCCACACCTAGCATTCTTATCTATGAAGAGGACGTAAGTGTCCTAGGGACACTGTAAAGACTACAGGAGGATGTGATTAGTAGAGGGGCTAGGAAGTTGCCTAGGCTCAGTGGGAGCTCCACAATTGTGAGATGACAAAATGAGGTGTGACTGTGCAGGCTATGCTTGGAGGAGTATGAAAACTGGCATGGGGGCAGACACACGAGGATGACAAGGGCTTGCTGGGGAGGCCGAGGTGCCGACCATATCTCACAAACAGCAAAGTGGGGCTTGGTGTGAGGCAGGGACTGAGGTCAAGTCCAAGAGGCCAAGTCTAGGTCTCAGGCCCCCCAGAGCTGCCTCTCACTTGCTCCCTACTCTCTGTGGGGCCTGTCAGCACCTCTGACCTCAGGAGTGGGGAGTGAGACACTTGGTGACCAGGCAAGGTCAGGCCAGGTTAGGGGCGAACAGGAGACAGAGGCCCAATCCAGGAGGCAGAGCCTTATCATTCCCTGATGGATCCCTGGTGTGCTGGGCCCCACTAAGTCTCCACTTCCTCAGAAAAGTAGAGCTGGAGGGCAATGTGCACCCCTTTCCAGGCTGTCCTGAGGCTCTTTGTTAACCACCTTTGTCCCTAGGTGGAGACACGTGGCCGCTCTGGGAAGAACCTTGACTGGCTCTCCCTAGATGAAAGTTGCTCATCCTCGGCAGAAATGGCATTCAGGCTGAGCCATTCTTGCTGGTGGAGGTGGTCTTTCGTGCTGTCAGATGTTGAGCAGCACCCCTGTCTCTGCCCACTAGACATCAGCACCTCCCCAGCTGTGATATCCAAAAGTGTCTCTGGACACTGCCACTTATCCCCAGGGGGCTGGTTAACTGCTACGCCCTACTTGGAATCTACTGCAGACACAGGCAAGGATACCCTGGGTCCTGGGAAGGGTGGGGCAGGCTGCTCTGTGTGGACCAGGGCTGAGCTACATCCTTGTGTCCTTGCTGAGTGTCTCCTCCACTGTCTGGTGGGGCTGCCTTGTTCATCAGAAGTGGGTCTGGCCTGTGTTCAGTGGCCACTGCTGGTTTTTCCAGTTTGGCTGCACAAAGCTGGCTCATTTTTCAGGCTAACCAAGCATCTGGCAGCTCCTGGACCATCCTGAGCTACAAGCATAGAGGCCTACTTGGCTCCCTCAGAACCCAGGGTCACCTCCAGTGTGTGGTCCAGCCCTGTGGCCCTGACCAGCAGGTGGGAAGGTGGAAGAACTGGGTCCTCCCCTGGCATAGTGCTCCCAAGGCTTGTTTCCACATTTGTAAATTGGGGGTACCCTCCATGTACCCTACTTTTGGACTTCTGGGGGCATGCTCTATCACCAGAAAGGGTTGCCAGGTCTAACTGGGGTGGCTAGTGTATGTGCTCCACCTTATCTGGAGGCCAGAAGACAGAGCAGCCCCACAATAGGTAGTGGTTTCCAGAGCATGTGAGGGTGGGAGGAAGGAGGCTTAGGGTACAGGCTGAGGGGGGCTGCCTGGAGTCATGGGGTGAGGAAGCTCTTCAGCCAGGGTCTCCCAGGAGGGGCCATGTTCCTAGATGATGAGAGGCAGGCAGGGAGGCCATTCCTGAGTACCTGTTGCACATGGCCTCCTTTCCTCCCCACAGCAGCCTACCATGTAAGTGATGCTGTTCCCATTCCACAGATCAGAAGGTAGAGACCCAGAAAGGTCCTGTGACTGCCCAGGCTCCAGTGCCTATGCAGTGCTAGGGCTTGGGCAGGCACCTGACCTTGACCACAGGAGCGGAGCACCCTGTGGCCACAAGTGTGACTCCAACAGGTTCACCCAAGCAGCTCTGTATCTGGATCCACAGGAGCCAGGGCAGGTTGGTGCAGGGCTGGGCAGGGGTGCTGGTGGCCTAGGGATTACTGTGAGGAAGTGTTCCTGAGACAGGCCCCAGCCCAACCAGCCTGAGGGCAGGGAGGCAGGCCCTTTACACGGCAACACCTGGCTGGGCTGGGCCCACAGGACCCACTAGCCACTGCTCAGAGCTGCAGAGGGATGGACGGGCTCAGAGGTGAGAATGAGGAAGCCAGTATCACACTTTCCCATGAAGGTGGTACCCAGCCTTCCCATGGTGCTGGTGGTGACATCACTATAAGTGTGGGTGTGCACTTCCTGCCCAGAGCAGGTGGATGGCAGGCAAGGCAGGTAGGGCCAGAGACCCCCAGTGTGCCCTCTCCTGATGTAAGGTGGTTGACAGTGGTCAGAGTCATCAGTGACCGGCTGAAGGGTGGGAGGGTGGGGAGGCCTCACATCCAGCCCCCTCCCCACCCCTGCCCACGGCCTTGGACTTCTAATTTATTGTTTTTGTCAGCAGCTGCGTGACTTCCCTGAGCTGGCAGAGAATTTTTACAGCCATCCTCTCCTTTAATTTCATTCTCAAGCTGCTCTTGGAGGCATCATGCTGGCCATGCATAGCAGAAGCTTGGAGATGTGGCGGTGCCACCCTGACTGGCACATATGGGCAGGTGGCATGGCGGTCACCCAGCTTCTGTGGCCTCCTTTTACATTTCAAGTTCTTGTTCCTGGAGCTTAGGTCTAGCCCCTGACTTTTTAGATGCCTGTGGGCAAGTCACCACCCCCTTAGGCCTCGGTTTTCCCATTTGTCTCACAGGAACCTCACTGGTACAGACTCAAGGTCCCTTCTGCCTTGGGCAACTCACTGCAGAGCTGCAGTAAACGCTTCAGCTCTCTGTGGCACAGGAGAGCAGGGCTGGCCTTGCAGCATGCTGCCAGTCTCTGTGCCATGTCCTTAGCCCACCTTAGTGCCTCCCACTTCCTGGGAGCTTGGAAAATTGCAAGGAGAGAAGCAGCCACAATGGTCTTGCTAAGGGCCTGTGGTATGGGACAAGGACACTGCAGTTTCCTGCCACTCTTCATCAATGAGGCCCCTCCATAAACTTCAGACAAGATGGGTGATAGGTGATAGGATGTGTATACAGCATCTAGCTGGGCAGAGGATGTGCACAGTGTGAGGGGTGCATGAAGTCTCTGCTGGAGCCTTGGGAGAGCTGGACAGAGCGAACACCTGCAGGGTGAGGCCTTAGTGGCTGTCTTTGAGAAAATGAGTTCTGTGCTCCAGTCCACCCCCGTGAGCTGTTGGCCACGGAAGCGTCATGCTCAGTGGTTATTACTACACTGTGGGTGGGCAGGGTGGCTTGTAGGGCTTGTGGTCAGCGTACCTAGGAGACCACATGAAACATCCTGACAGCCACAGACCCGCCTGGGGAGCTCATGCCCTAACTGAAAGGACTCACCTGGGAAAGGAGGTGCGGTGCACTTGACAAGTGTGGGATCCTGGACCCTTTTTAACTAGCCTGGTGCTGTCCCTTCTCCCTGGCCTTCTGTCTGGATTCCAGGCCTGAAGCCTGAGGAATTCCAACAGCCTGACCACAGTGCTGAGACAGAGGCTCTGCTGCTGATTCCTTGCCCCTTCATCTATAATGTACAGCAGTGATACCCTGGGTGCGTGACTCCTCACCTATCAAATGCAAACAGCTGCCTTAGCCCATTGGTCGTTTCAAGAATTAAATAAGTTAACTGTGTAAAGTGCCTGGAATGGGCCTAGCATGTACCAGACACTACAAAAGGATTAACTGTCATTGTGCATGATGAAGACCTTCCTCTAGGATGACCTTCTGCATACAGTAGGTGCCAAGCGATGGCTGAGTGGAGGGAAGGTTCCTCCTGCCCATCCAAGGCACCAAATGCAGAAGAGGTTGGCAACATCAGCTCATCAGCCCCTATCTGAACTGGGAGATCCTGGAACCCACAAAGGGGAGGGAATGATGTCCCAAAGTTAACTAAGCCAGGCAGCAATGGGGGTCAGGCCTGTCCCCACCCCAGAGGCACCAGCCTGCTCTCAAACCCTGTCTTGGCCTTGGCTTCCACTGGGCACCCCAAGAGGCCGCTTCTCCTCTGTTCTTGCTCTTTGAATCCACTTCAACTTGGCACCATCATGCAAGCCTTCCCTGACGCCTACCATGAGCACAGCTTCTCTGTAGTCTGCATACTAAAACCAATGGGTGGATGTGCTAACGAAACAAGTAACAGCTTAATCCAAGAGAAGACATTCTGGGAGTTGGAGTTGACTGAGGAGGGATGAGTACCCTGTTGTTGGAGGTGTGCAAACAAAGACAGAGAGCCAATGTGAAATAACACAGGAAGCAGTACATGGTACAGGGCCAGTATTGACCACACCTCTGACCACTGGAGGAAATGACTGACCACTGGCTGGGTGTCTCTGAGATCATTCAACTCTGTGTCTGGCACAGGGCTCTATCTAGAGTGTTTGCTGACTGACTGAATGGCCTTGCTGCCCAGGCCCTGCTCACCTTGAGGTGACCTAGGTGCATGCGGGCCCGCTCACACATGTGCAGGAAGTACTTGACACTGCTCTCATCCACGATGATGTACACAGCCACCTTCCTCTTGAAGCCGGCATCCAGCAGGTCCTTGAAGATGTCCACATCGGTAAACATGTCCATGACCACAGCAATTACCTGGAGCAGGAAGAGCACAGCTTGTTAGATGGCCAGCAGTGGGACTCACTGCTTTCCCACCCTACTCCCAGCAGCTTCAGGATAGGAGGGGATGGCAGTGAAAGGTGTCTACTCAGGATATGGGGAGCATTCTGACTCCAGAGTTCTAGGTCAGAAGTCCACACTGAGGGTATAGAGGTTCTCAGTGGCATGTACTGGCATCTCTGGGGGGGCAGGGAATAGGGAAGAAACATTCAATATACCTGTTGTTCTTGTAATTCAAAACTACAGAAAACAAAGCTCAGCTAATCCGAGGTGAGAAACGCAAAGAGAAGGGTGAGAAAGTGCAGGGATGGACCCTGGATCAAGGAGAAGCCTGGCCCAAGGAGAAGCCTGGGTCATGCCTGGTCTAGAAAGTTCTTGAGTCAGGAGGGGTCCTGTGTGCTGCCTCTTCTTCCTTCCCTGCTGGTGTCCAGGTTCTCTGAGGGCAGGCTCTGAGAGGGAAATGAGGTCCAACCAAGCCCTGGGGTCTTGGTTCTTGCCCATTCCTGGGAGCCATTCCTGAACCAGGGCAGACCATACCAGTGCCCTGCTCCTGGCTACCCTGGGGTGCTGAGGTAACTGGGGGAGGAAGGACAACCACCAGGGAAAGAGGAGGAGCTTCCCTACCTCGCTGGTGTGGACTCTGGCCTCCCACCTGTCTGTTTGGACAGAGCCCAACCAAGCATGTGCCCTTCTGATCATCTGATAAGGTCAGTCACCTCACCACAGGTAAGTTCCATCTCCTGGGCATGACTTAGGGTGGAGCCCCAGAGGTCAGGGTACATCAGCTCCATCTCCAGACCAGCATAGCCCAACTGTTCATAGCAGTGTCCACATTCATGAAGGTACAGTGGTGAGGGCAAGAAGCCAGTGTACAGGGGTGGGATGCAGGCAGAAGAGAGGGCTGTGGGGCTAACCCTCTCTTCTGGAACCTACCAGCCCACCAACCAGGACGTGCTTGGATAACCTTATGTCTCCTGGGGAGCTCTGTGAGGAGACCAGGGTGGAGGGTCCCTTGGTGCCTACAAGGCCCCCTGTCTCTCAATCACCCCCTCCGCTCTCTGTCCCCATCGTCGTCTATCAGCTTGTTGTACCATGGTGGCTTATGTGATGCTGTGATACTAGAAGCTAGGCCTAGCCCAGCCACAGGCAGCACTAAGAGACAGGGTGTTCTTGCAGCCCAGCCTCCTGGAACCTTCCAAGACACTGTGGTGGTGGGGTCTCAATTTGCAGCTACACAAACAAAGCAAGTCCTAAACTACCATAAATACCTAGGGTCTCTGGCCCCCTTCCTGGGAATGGTATTTTGTCTCAGAACCAAGGTGTACTGCCCACTGACTGGCTGGGGCATGGGATTCTCCTGTCCTCTGGGGGCACAACCACTTGACCTGTGCATCTCTGAAGGGCTGTCTTGTCACGAAGGGCATAGGCACAGTCTATGCAGGGGCCAGCAGGGCTAAGCTGAGGTAGGGGTCTGCACCAGAGAAAGTTGTACTCTCTGACTCCCAAAGCTGCCTAAGTTAGGCAGTGGTTTGAGAGGGAGTGAGTTTCCCATCCCAGTAGATGTCCAAGGAAAGGCCAGAGACTGCTTATAGAGGCATGGCAGAGAAGAGGGATGAGGCCAATAGAATCTGCAATCACACATACAATGTAGAGTCAGGGATGGAGTGGGCCACAATGGCCTTGGACATTCAGGGTCAGGAAACCTTGAGGTGGTTGGAGCAGGGACTTCCTCTTCTGAGATCACAAAGTCCCAGGGTCTACCCACCCTAGGGTCCCCTGGACAAGACACCACTGGGCACACAGCCTTACATGCCACCCTGGAAAGGAGCTGAATTTGGGGCACAGTCAGCATGCTTCTCCCTGAGGCACAGGGCCCCACCACGAGCCAGGGGCTAGCCCTGACAGACAGGAACTTGCCCTGGGTTCAGGCTAGGGGAATGTGCCCCAGCAGGACTGTGCCATTGGTGCTGTGCCCCTTGTCACCCTCTGGCAGGTGGGAGCCCTGATCCCAGGCACTGCTGGGGGTTAGAGCATTGGGGCCTGCCCTGCAGTGGGTCCCACAAGGTCCATGGTCAGACTGTGGCTCTCTCAGGCACTGGGCTAGATGCCTGGGGGTGGCTGGAGGAGGACTGATAAGAGGAGAGCCTCAGCATGTGTGGGGCTGCTGATGCTGGGGGCAGTGGGGCCCTGATGCTTCCAGGCAGGCACTCCAGGTAGCCTGGTCTACAGTCAGACCTAAAAGGTCTCTAGAGGTCCTCTAGTCCTACCCTGTTGTCCCTGTTTTGCAGATTGGAAAGCTGGGGCTAGAAAGCCAATGATCATGACCAGAGTCTTGGGCCCCTGCAGCCCCTTCTGTTCAAGAGAGTGTAAGCCAGCTCTGCCCTTGTGCCACATGCCATGCTTGACCACTATTACACTATCTGTCCTCCCTACTACCCAGTCAAGGGCACTGAGGCACAAATGGACCCTTCCTTACCCAGGAGTCTCCAGCACCAGTTGCTTGGGACACTGTGACCCATTCAGGCAGAGCTCCTGCCTGCACAGTGCAGCACAGCTATGGGCAACTTTGACTACAGACAGCTGCACAGACAGCTCAGTCTAGGAACCACTCCAGAAGCTGAGGTAGACAAAGCCCCCCTGCAGGCCTCAGTTTCCCCATGTGTCACTGGGGATGTTGGCTTGGCTCATCTCTAAGGTCTATCTGCTCAAAAGTCTGGGACTAGAAAAGGAGGGCTCAGTTGGCCCTGCCTGGAGACCCTACACCCTGCAGGCCCCACGCCCACATACTTCTAATGGTAAGGGATGGAGCAGGTTGGGGAGGCTGGTGTCTAGACCCCTCCCTCTGTCCACTATGGGTCAGAAGGCTACATCAGCCAAGGCCACACCAACCTCTGTCATGTCCTCAAGAGTTGCTATACCAACTGCCTATTCCTTAGGAGATGAGGTCTGGGGGCAGGTCTGTGGGTGAGACCACCAAGAGACTCCATACCCAGGACTTGGTGTCCCAAGCAGTAGACAGGCAGGCAGCTCCCAGCACAGCTCAGTTCCCAAGGAAGGAGCCTTGGGGCCTCACTTTCTTTTCTAATTGGGAAAACTGTCTGTGAGGGCCCAGGGTCCCCAAAAATGCAGGAACAGAGCCTAGGAGGGGCCTGGTTTTCTTGATGACCCCTGGGTCCTTGCACCAAGAGTGGAAGTGTGGGGCTGCTATAACACTGAGAAGAGGTGGGAGGAGGGCAGAGGCTGGGCCAGCAGAGCAGAGGTTGGTTGGATGGGAGCCAGGAAAATGTTGGCAGAGGCCTGGGCTCGGTGCTGGGGAGCGAGTGCCCTGCCTGATACTGTCAGTGCTTGGGCATGCCGACAGTGAGGCCAGATCTCTTTCTGCTCTTCATACCCAAAGGCCTCCTGTACATCTCCTGAGGGTGTAATATGTGCAAGGCCAAAATGTGCTCTGCCTCTCTGGGCCTGGTCTCTATGCCTCCTTTGCCTTCTACCCTTGCTCCACCCACAGACCCTGCCTCCTGCCTGTGCTTCAAATCCTCACTTCCCTCCCACGGGCCAAGGCTGTCTGTGGCTGGGTCATTGCACTGGCCTTTGTACCATATCCTGATGGTGTCAGATGTCCGTAATATCCTTGGGACAGAGGCAAGCTATAGGCAACCACCCCACATTAGCACTGCAGAAACTGTATGGTCCAGAGTGGGAGAAGACTGGCCCAAGGTCCTACCATAAGCACCTCCAGTATCTGAGTGGCCACCAGGGAGGCAGCATCTGTGTCCCAAAGGAGCGAATCCCCATGCTGTGGCTGCCACCCACAGCAGATGCTGCCTTAAGTCCTGTAAGAGCTGCTGCTACTCACATCGGGCAGAAGCTGCAGGTCAGCTAGAATAGGTGCCTTCCCCACAGTCTAGTGGCACTCAAAGGTCCCCGAGCTAAGAACAGATGGATCCAGAGTTGGAGCTTCTGTGCTTTAGGTGAGTTAAAGCTCCAGGCTCTGGGTGAGCTGCCTTGTCTCTCTGGGCTTGTTTCCTCATTTGTCAAATGAGAAGGTAGGTATGGTGTCTCATGGCCTGTCCTGCTCTATAGTCCTGCCAATGACGCCCAGGTGCCCAGCATGGCTTGTCTAGACCAGTTGAGCATGTAGCCAAGCCTGCAGGCCACAGAGAGGGAGTCCCTGGCCCCCGCGGCCCCACCTCCCTCTTTCACCATTACCACAGGCTCCATGCCTCACTGGGTTCAGACACCCTGTCTGTGGTGCCCCAGTACCCACAACCAGTGTTTTCTAACATTCCTGTGACCACAGACATGTACTGTGGGGGCGGTTGGGTAAAGCAGATCTCTATGGAAGTGCCTTGCAGGAGGCACAGGGTGAGTGGGGCCAGGTTGGTACTGCAGTTGGCAACCGGCCTGAGGGACAAAGGATCTGCATCAGGGTGGGCCCAGCCACAACAAGTGAGTTGAGGGATGCATCATCTTTCAAGGCCTAGACCCTGAGACCTGGTGTGGGAGTTTTCCACCTGGAACCAACCACTGGCAGGTGACAACCCTCTGTAATGGCTCCACTTGCCTCTTATTTCACAGGCTACAGAAATTTTCAGAGGTGGCTCAGAGCAGAGCCAGCCAAGGCCTCTATCTCTAAGTGCTCTGAAGTGGATAGCAGAGACTCATCCCCTCCCACCAACATAGTACTTGTGAGAGTTAAGTGCTCAGGAAATGCCAGCTCCTCCTTATCTTCCTCCTCCTGTCCCACTAACCCAGGTCTTATTCTGCCCTCTGTGGTAGACAGACCAGGAGCCATCAGCCCACACATAAGCCAGTTCCCTCCATGCCAACTGGAAGGATGATGGGAAAGCAGTAAGTGACATGTCAAGGCTGCTCCCAGGAATGGCACAGGGAACTTTGCAGACTGTCTTAACTGTTGAGATGATGACTGCCAAAAGATCCTGAATGCAATTTCCACTTCCAACCACAACAGAAAA